TCACATCTTTAAATCTTCAGATTTGAACTGGCTTAAAAACAATGACCCTTCAATACAGAAATTATTTTTAAATTTTATATGACGGCATTTAACTTAAATTTAGTGAGAACAGATTGCACATGAACGCTTTAAACAAAATGTTTGTAAGGACTGACATTTCGACAACCGTCCATCGGGAATTGAAAAAGAAGGTAATTATTCCTACTTAAATCGAGGCTTTAATATGATTTTAAGAAGAGAAATGTTTTGGATACGAGTTTACAAAAAAGCCCAAATTAATTCAATTTCCTAAAATTCATTTTGAAAAATTTCTTACTTGTATTTACTCAGCGGCTATCAAAATATTTGAAAAAAGTTTTCGCTAGTCAAGAATTCAATTTGCCTTTCATTAACGTATCAAGCAAGGGACTAAAGGTTCATGCACACACATTTTTTAACTGCAGTTGTGGGAACTGTGTTAGTTATTGTAGCTAATTTCACTTTCAAACTGGTTTACAGTATGCAAGTAAATAAATGCTGGTATTTTTACAGATTTTGACAGAAAAATTTAGAAAAATCCCTTACAATAAACTCTGAAAGCAATCTGTAACTTACGTCCTTATATTCATAATACAAGCCTTTTAATAGAATCGATACGATTCTCGATTACCTTTTAAATTACGCCATGACCATTGTGGAAATTAAAACAACAGATCCCTCCTCTCTAATACCACCAAGCAAATCGTCAACTGAAATATAATGAACAAGGTATTCCAATCTCTTAATGTTATCTCTAAAGCAAAGAAAAATCAATTCTGTAACAACTTATCAGTAGTAGCGATCAGGCGCGCTATATAAGTTTTGGAATTTAGAATCGATTCTCAAGTTTGTCCAAATACTGCGACCAAGTTCTCGCTCCGTCCCAGTTTTTGACTTGGGCTCTTAAAAAATATTAACTTAAGTTATTTTAGGCTTAAAAAGAATATTATGTCTCCCATCACCCTTTTTAGTCGGGGTAGTTAATTTTGATAGTGAATAATGCAATTGTATATTTCATGTTCTTTTGTAAAGATAATAGGGGTATTCGTTGAAATTATCACATTTCCTTATTTGCAATGTTAAAAGCACATATCACAATTAAACAAAAAATGATTGGGAGGATTGCATTAATTGGAAAGAAACTATTGAGATTTTCAGTAAAACAAATAAAAACAGGCTAATTGCAATTAATTCGATGAGATTTTAATGTCCTCTCTGCCGCTGTTACATTGACAAAATTTAATTTGTTACAAATCGTTTTCTCTTCTAAAATGTCTAAAAATTGCTCATTTTAACTGCTTGTGGATTTATGCTAGTTAAAATTTAATTCTTTTGGGAAAGTTACAGGGGGGTCTTTATAAATGGTCCTGACTTTTTCAACGCTGAATAAATACTATTTAAAATATATTTTTGTTAATAGAAAAATTATTTTGCTATAATAGAACAACTGACTCATCAAAATGCGCATGAAGTTAGAAGTCGCTGACAAATAAATCGTTATTTTTAATTATTGAAAATCGATGCCAAAGAAAATTAATCCCCCAATCTTATTGAATGTTAGAGAAGTAAACGCGTGTAAAATGTGCGTTATTTTTAACTGAATAAATGTCAAGAGAAACTGACAAAATTTATTATTATTATATTCAAGATGACAAACATTTGTCCCAGTATTTTGACTCGTATAATGTATTCAATTTCTATTATTTTCATTATGGGTCACAAATGTATATAGGATTGTAATTTGCATTGTTCGCAAGAAGAAACCAGATACCAGAAGGATAGGTGTGAGGATTAAAAATTCACTGAGGCAATATCAAAGTACCAAGGAGTTTTGTTTCATTTGCTGGATGATTCAATTTGTGAATAAGTACTTTAAAGTTTCTTGATTCACTGCTGGAAACTTGTATTCAATGGCCAGCGCCTATTTAGCGTTTTATGATGATGTTAATCTGTTTTTTTTTGACAATCGAGAAATTAAAATAATCTAATTTAGCAAAATTTTGTATGAAAGATTTACCCGTATCGTCTCATCATGGAAGCCTCGAATTTGCCAATTATATAAGACCATGTTGTGGAGTAATTACCATATACACTTTTTCAAAATTTTCATGTCGTAACTTCAACGTTGTTTAATGGAAGCGCAGGCACTTAAAGAGTGCTACTTTACCTGCACAAAGAAATAAAAATTACATTTTTTCTCCAGTCTTCAACAAACAATCTTTTTTGTTTGCCTTTCAATCATTCAGCATAAAATTAAAACTAGATTTGTCGAATTTAAACCATAAATCACCTAAGGAAAATATTTTGAATGTCACTTATTTTAAAAACTTTAGTTCGAAAAATGACCGTTTTCAAGATTTCATCAAATGCAATTAGTATCTATTTTTTCCATCTTATTACCTTAATAATGCTGAAAATGAAACAAATAATTACAAATGAGAGCTGATGTAATTCATTTCGATTTTCTCTGATGTTCTCTGATTGGTCAGTTGGCGAAAACCAGCTACGTAAAATGCAGATTAGTCGCAATTTTAATTTCTGTGTGAGCATGAAATAACATTCATTCTTTATCATTAAAGGATTTTTTGAAATAAAACACATTTTTAGGTAAAAATGAATTAATAATTTAGAAGGAATACGCACTAAAAGAGTGACGAACGAGAATGAGATAGATAGTTAAAAAATTAGGCCAACATATGGTTGCCTTGGGAAATTCGAAACATGAAGGGAAAGAAGGCCATAATAGCCAACGATAAATTTGCCTCACTCGCATGACGGTTATAATGCACTGCTTCAAATTCATGCTTTTGCAATCAAATATAGATGTTTGCGATTAAAATCCCGAAAAATTATTGCCAAGTAAGTTAAATTCGTTGGCTTTTAGTGAAACTAAGTTCGTAGATAGTACTTGTTTACAGAAATATAGAGTAAAACTTCAATATATTTTGCAGTAAATAATTCAAAATGTTCGCAATTATTTTTTTGTTAAATTTTAGGACATTTTACCAGATTGCCTCATCAGAGCAGACCTGATTTGTTATCTCTTCCTCATACTAATATCCCAATTGTGATTCTCCATAGACAATTATCCAAATTCGAGCCTGTTTCTCTACATGCAATTTCATTTCTTCTAGCAATGTATCCTTAAGTCATGCCCCTATCGCTATCAACACGTTAGACACAGAAGAAAATCGTCCAATTTTGCATTTGAGCTTTTTTCTTATTCTAGGAGGAAATTTATCATCTTTTTCCCTATGAAAAAGACACCATTAATAAAGCCTGACGTGATATTTAAGATCTCCAGGTAAACCAACAGTCTTGAAATAGCTCCTCACTTTCTGGGAATAACCTTTTTGCATTAAATCTCTCACTGGCCATGAATTCTATTATTAATGCATAAATTCAAAATTTACAACCACGCGGTCACAATTTTTTAAACAAAAAATGCTCTTCTAACATTTAGTTCCTAAGTTGAAATAATCATTTTACATATATGATGACCAAAATTGTAAATTTATTTCGCCTTGCCCTAATACTGTTAATACGTAATAACTATGGTTTAGTAAATCACTACAAATATTTTATGTATTAATATTTTTCATTTTACTAATTTTGTTTGCAAAAATGGTTATGAAGATATAGAAACTAGTTCACAAAGCCATTCAAAGGTATTATTCACCCATCTTCGTCAAATCGGTTGAGTTATTTCCACTTATGTCGAATACATAGTTAACAAAAGTATCATGGGATTTGAAAGACATCAATAAGGCTTGCAAATTAACGGCGTATAATTAAGGCCTTTAATTAGTTTTTGTGAGATATTGTTAAAGTTATTAAAAAGAGAGCTCAAAAATAGAAAATAGTTGAACCGCCACCATAGATGTTATTATGTTTTCATTTTTTGACTAAGGGTTTATATTATAAAATATGATTCACCTCATCAGTAATTAAATCATCTTTTTGTTTTTTAAAACTCAAACATAACTGAAGATTACTAACTGATTACTCCAGGTAGTATCAAAATAAAATTTACACCTCTCGGCTTGATTTCTCTCCTCTAATTAACCATTGTTGGCTTATGACGTCATTTGGCACGTAAACCCTCATTATAGCCGTTATTCGATCAGACATTTTGCAATAACCACTGAATCTTGTCAGATTTAACTTGCTTATATAGTCATTGGTTTCTGGGTTACATTAAACTGACCACTTCAAACACATTACAATGGCGTCCCATTTAAAATCAAGTCAATTCAAATACTCAATTGAGCTCTGCTTGTAACCAACATTTAATAGAACATAGTTAAATATTTTTTTATTAAGTTTGAGAAATATGATTTCATATTATAATTTTAAATTTATTTTATTCGTACGCAGCATAAAGTCACAAATAACAGAAAATAAGGCTTTTTTCCCTATAATAATTGCATATTTTAATTACTGCTGATTAAACCGAACAGTGAAAATGTAGTATTTAATTAAACTTTTACAAGAATAGCTCAGCAGAAATGGGAAAAAAGGATAATTATGTGGACCAAAATACTCAATTTCACCCACCTTTATCATGAACGATTTAAGTAGTCCAAAAGTTAATAATCTAAAAGCCGTAAAGCTCTTGTACTTTGTATTTGTAAATCTCCACATACATTTTTTTTAAAATTGCTTTGACAAAAACACAACTGAAGGCAAACTATTCATGCCTTCCCTAATGAATCACACCCAACTTTAGCATTATACAAGCGTACATATATGAAAAGCGTACTGAGTTAGAATTTCTCATAATATACTAATAGAGAGGAGGTTACAAACCCAAAAATAGGCTCCATTACCTCAAATGTTCTCAATTTGCATCTATACCAGCTAAAGAGTCAAAGAAAATTCTTATTACTTATTTATCATCATAGAAATAAGATATGAATATAAAAAATGGCTAAATAATGATTCAACTATTTATTATTTAACAATTCATTTAAATATCTCCTTCAATAGCAGGAAAAAAGACTTACCTGAGCAGCAAATGAAGACGTGGGATGATCCATAAAAAGCCACATTCGGTATCGCCACTTCTTCCAACCTCTGGAAAATTTGACCAAATTTTTCATAGAATCAATATCCTCGAAGCAATCCCTGAAGAGGGTTTTCTTGGTCCGTTTTTCTTCATCATACCGCATATACGCCGGCATGCAACAGGGGTCAATTAGTGACTCATCTATTCCCCAAAAGATCAATTCCTTCCGAACAAATGGTCCACAGATATTCGTGGGAAGATGAAGCTCACCGGTTCGATAATAATCCAATACGAATCTGAAAATTTCCGGATCTCGGTCAAAGAAGTAGACTGGTTGCGGTGCCACTGAGTTCTTATCATTCTGTCCACTTCCTGAATAGATCTGGTTATTGTCCATCATTCGATTTGAGTGACTTTCAATGGGAGAAGTATTGTAGATCTGGTTCCTACAGACAGCCGCAGCTGAGATCAGTTCTTTATTCCCAAATAGGGAGGCAGCGACATTGTTCGGTAGAAGGGTTGCTCCTCCTACGGTGTATTCGCCCATATACTGACTGTCTGATGATAATTGGGATCGATAGTCCTGCTTTTGTAAGGCAGATCTAGCTGCCTCTTCTCCTTGTGTCGCTATCATATAGAGGCGGCTGTCCGGCAATCGATAAAGCGTGGCTCTTCGAGTTATGAACAGGCGTCCACCAATGCAGAGGTTGACCACATCTCCTGGTGTACCCGGTCGAATATAGGCAGACGCGGTTGAATTGTGGTTTTGCATCATCACCCTACAAGTTGGCCAAAACAATGTGACTCCCTCCTGAAGAAAACACTTTTGTTCAACAAGGTTCCCAAAGAGCCTTTTTTAGAGGACAAACGTCTACGGTGTTTAGATAAAATCTCAATAAAATCTGTAAGTATCTTACTAGACGCACTAGCGCACTTGGATAAAAACGTGCTCAACATTCCAGGAGCAGCCGATGCCGGCTACCGCCCAAATATGGTACTGTAATTCGATTGCTTTAATTGTTATCTTATAAATCATCGGATAAAGAAGAATACTATTTTAAGCATTCAAATTTCAGATGCAGTAATTAAACACTTGCAAATAATAAAGATGTAAATATTAATATTTCATTATAAATTATAAACAACCCTACTTTGTATTAATTACTTTGAAAATGTGATTTATTTTCTTGATTAACCTTTTTTGCGTACATTTTTTATTTAGAATACACTTATTTTTTTAATTAACGAAAAAAATTACCATTTAAGAAGCTGATTCCAACGTAAACATTATAATTTAATATTATAGCCTTCTCCTTATTTTTCGATATTTTTTCGTCTGGGAAGTGTCATATGAGACGTGCACAATGTTTATATTGATAACTCAAAAAAAATTTCCCCGATTATTTGAAATTAAATTTACCTGAAGCTATATTCAAGGATACCAACCTGAAAGCCTTTTATTTCTGTTTGGCTTCGTCGGTGACAATTTAATAAATAATAACCGTGTAATTCTAATGCTATTAAAAACAAATATTTAAAAAAAATCATTTCCCGAACCCACCTCTCCACCCTCCCTTTCCTCTTCCATAAACCGTGACGAGACTTTTCAACTTTCGCTTGTGCAAAAAAATTCCCAAGCTAATAAAGCCGTCCACGTTTGAAATGCTATTTTTACAATTATAAAGCTAATTCGAATTTTTTGAATAATCAAATCTATCCTAATTAAACTTTAACCATTTTGATATATAAAATTTAAAAATTTTATTAGGCGTGTTAAAAGTTTAATGTCCTTTCATTTCTATGATGCATTGAAAGGATAGCTGAGGATTTAATAAATTAATTCAATGCTTAAGTCGAAGAGCCTCTTATTCGTTCCAGTAATGAAAATAAATTTTGATTTAATTAAGCTGCACTATTGACAAACTTTTATTCTATGCAATCAGAGCACAACGGCAATAATTGCTCCACTCAATTGCCATGCTATTAAAAATGCATCGGTCGACGCCCAAGTGGTCAACTTTCGTATTTACCACTTATTTTGCCTCTTTCATTAATCGCGCATTTTAAATCTCGTTTACAGAGAATTTTTATTTACGTTTGTGGGGCATTGATTTTCCTCTTTTTTTCAAGGAATCCGCGAGATAACTTACTGCAAGTCGCCATTGCGTGTATTAGTGGATTAAGATATATCCCCTTGGTGGCATTATAAAATCTTATTATGCAAAGCTCAACAACTCATTAGTTAATTGATAGCTTATTAGAAAAAAAGCCTACTTAAAGTTCCCTATATTCAATAAGCGTTAGCTAAAAGATTTAGAATTTTTTTATTAAAGCGCATTTTCTCTTCTCTCTCGTTCTGTACATTCCGATTAAATTTATTAAGATGACTAATCAAATGATGAACAAGTGCATTGAAATATCGCAACGGTAAAAAAGTGCCTAGTCTGTAATGTATTGCCTTCAAGAAAATCTTGAAATCATGAATTTTCAATATTAAAATATCCATTTAAAATTTGGACAAAAAAAGAGAAACTTACAATTGAGCTTATATCCGGGTTTAATAATTTAGTCCTCTAGTGGAAAGAAAGGTAATTCCATGCTCCGCGTTATGAGAAAATAGGTTGGGAAATGTATTCTAAAATACTCTGAAGTGGAGAGGAACTCTGGGTTGTGAAGTGACCTATTTGATGAGGATCTGTTTCAGCAGCCGCAGTCCAACGTATGCGCTTCGGACGAACCAACGTGTAGTGGGGCGCACGCACCCACACTGACTTGTAACGCGGTTTTTGGCTTGTCCAACGGAAATTCCTGATTGGCGGAAGAAGCACCAGTAGGAGTGGAGTTTAAAATTGTTCTCTCTCTCTTATGCATTTGCTGCAACGCTCGCATGCAAGAGATGATTTTTCACTGTGATTTTAAGCGCGAAATGTACTTAAAGTCAACTGTACATTCTTTTCAATAACCGCCGTTCAGCAATTCAATTGTGCATGTTGTCATTTAAATAGATTTAAGTATTCAATATTCAAATGAAATATTATGGGGATATCGCGTCTATACTACTTTTTTAGACGAGTTAGTTATTAATATTTAATTTCTAATTTTCTACACAAACTTGAACTTAAAATTAAAATCAAATTAAATATTTAATTATTAATTTAATCGCGTGTTAAAATAGGCAAATAATATTAATATTATCATAGTACAGATTATTTCAGAGTGTAAATATTTAGGGACAAATTTTATGCTAAATTCATTTAACTAAATGCGTATTATTTGTTCAGTTAAAAGATTATTATTTTAATTTTGGCATTTTATGAATTGTTACATAAAACTTTTAATCGACTTTACGCTCTGATTGCGCTTTTATAAATATGAAATTGACAGTTCTTAAACATTCACTTCTTCATACTTATTAATTCAGTTGATCAAATATAACTGTTGAGTGGTAATTATTAGCATGAAGACATCAAAATTAGATTGCTTTAGGAAAGGAAATAAAACTCCTCCCTTTAATTAACTCCAGCCCCTGAGTCACTAACTTAGCTTAAACGAAATCAAGAAAGTCTTATTGAGAAGAAAATTTTTAGACATTGGATAACACGGGTTTTTGCATCATGCCAACTTTATCAAATTGCATTACGCCTTTTAGCGGTTATTTAAATAGCAATATTTTTGAAGTAGTTAATTGTTATGAAAAAGGAATTGTCCATACCGAATGATTTTTAAAACTTCTCATTTGCCTTTTGAAAGCTTTATCTACTCAGATTTAAATAACTGTTTCCTATTAATATAATAAATTTACTTATATGGGCTTAAAATTGGCTACAAATGATTGGCTGAATGGATAGCCAATAATTGCAACGACAGCTTCTCCACCTGTGGTTATTTATACCCAGGTGCGAGCTTGAAAACTCAATAATTGATAATTTGTTGCATGAGGGTTAATGCCTCTGACGTTCAAGTGTAACGTCAATCACATGAACCCGTACAATTCAAATTTAGGCATTCTTTATGTTTTAAGTGATTTTGAACTGCTCATTCGATTCAATTTAAGTCACATTCTACTCATAGTTCATAGACCAAGTGAGTTGATTTAACTATTTCAGATTAATTTTTCGTCAATAACATGTTCCATTTACGTCTCTTCGTTATAATTATAGCACTGATTTGAACTTAAAGTGTCCTTTCCAAATGATTCAAAAATATCTTCAAGCAAGTGAATCTAAACAATTTACGTGGAGTTATAATTTTTCTTTAAAATTATCAAAATTCACCACGATAGCAAAAAAAGTAGCTAGAAAGTCTAAAATTTGGTTTTTAAACGTCTTTGTCTAGTAAGGAATTCTCTATCGTCCTTACATTATCCGATTACGATCAATTTAAACAATTGATTACCACGCGCTACATACGCTCTTCGTCTCCTCATTCCACTCTTCTGTCATTCGTTTCCTTCCACGTTTGCAAATTAATTACAGTCTTACAATAGAATCTGGTTCGCTTACAATTCTTTACAGTACAAGGAGAGAACAAAAAGCTATTGGATAGCCACAATAGAACACTAATCATTTGAACTTTACGAATTTACCAAAATAATAGACCCTATCAAACAAAAAATATTATTTGCCAATTAATTGTGAACTTTCAGTTGATTCTAAAGTAAGGTGCGATTACAGATATTCCTGCCTATTAGTAAGTGAATATAGGTGGAGAAAATAGCCTAAATACGAATTGTTGATGGTAATTGCCCATTCACTAAACTTTCAGTTGCAGCATTTACAATAATATTACTTGAACTTACTTTGGGGTGTGCGATAGACTTACCTCCACGTGGTGCACTCTGGGCAACGTATACTCATACGGCAAAAAAGTCTATAAACTGGCAACTGACTACCCACTTCAAACTATTATGACCCTACTGCTTGCCATATTCCATCACTTCCACAGTACTCACCTCACCTTTTTTCTACCTTTGTGTCTGTCTCTTTTACATTTTTGAATC